GCCCATCCAGAAACGATGCCCAGAGGATTTGCCTCGATTAGGGAAGCGGGCAGCACACAGAGGAAGGGTCCCCCAGTGGAGGCCTCTTTGAGCGTCTTGGGGGCCTCTTGGCGGTCCCGGACGCCTCCTAGAGCGTCTTGGGTGCTTCGCAGAGCTTCTTGGGGCCTCTTGGGGGTCTCTTGGGAGCCTCTTGGAGGCCTCTTGGGCGCCTGTTGGGGCCTCCTGGGGCCTCCTGGGCGCCTCTTGGGGTTCTCTTGAAGCGCTCTTGGGAGCCTTGGGAGCGTTCTTGGAGCCCTCTTGGGCCATCTTGGAGCCATCTTGAGGCCTCGGATGGCCATCGGAAGCGAAAAGGCTCAAAGAAGGGGGCTCCCTTGATTAGCCTCGCACCTCGGGAGCCCCCCAAGTCGCCTTTTTGAGCGTTCTTGGGGCGCTCTTGGAGCGCTCTTGGGCGCTCTTGGGGCCGTCTTGGGGCTACCTTCGGCCCCTCATTGGGTTCTCTTGGGCCATCTTGGAGCTATCTTAAGGCCTCGAATGGCCATCGGAAGCGAAAAGGCGAAACAGTAAAACGCATTGATTTTCCAAAGGTTTTTTTAAGGATTTTGGCCTCTTGGGGGCATCCTTGGGGAGCTCTTTTGGCATCTTAGAGCCGTCTTGGAGCAGTCTTGGGGCGTCTTGGAGCATTTTGGGAGCCATCTCGAGGCATCTTGTGCTATCTTGAGCCATCTTGGAGCTCATCTTGGGCTCTCTGAAGCCCTCTCGGGGCCAGCTTGGGTCATCTTGGACGCCCTGACCGCTCGCGTGGCGCCTCGTCCAGGTCTAGGGGAGGAGGTAGGGGGAGGGGTAACCCCCTCCCCGAAAGGGAACACTCTAGACCACCAACGCCCAGAGGGCTGTTGGGATTCTTATCGCCTCGTGTCGGCCACCTGCGCCATCATCAGCGCGTCGCGGTTGACTGAAGGGGGCGGGCTGGCGACTCTGTAGATGCTCGAGTTGGCGTTCGGCTCCACGTGCGCTGGCACGTGGTCCTCGAGCGTGGCGCTCTGCTGTATCTGTAGCATCCTTCCCAATCTGATAAGCGTACTCAACTTCACAGTGTTGCCAAGTATCTTCGCCGGGCGCAGGCAGTGGTCTATTTTCGACGATGCCCCTCGTTGAAAAAACGTTGGCCCTGTCCTCCAGAATATACATGCACTGCTCATGTGCGGCTCCTCTGCAAACGTGCGCAGCTGCGTGGATACGGTAGTCTCGTGCGTAGCCTCTACGGTGCCCACGTGCGCGTCCCCTGTTGTGTAGCAAACTCCCACCACGTCTCGCCGAATGCCACATCCACAATTTAATTGCCCTACCACTATCGGTAACGTGTTGTTCCCTTCTCGTTCAAGCTGCCTGCCTGCCGATCCATTACAACATGCGCGTATTGACCTCTTTGAGTATGATGGGACTTGTGCCCTCCGGTGGGAGGTACACTGGGAAAAGACATACCTGCTGCCCGTGCACAAACAGCTTCACTTTGGCGACCCTCCCCGTGATGTCGTGTGATCTCGGTGGGGTCACTGCTTGCTGCACCCCTGGTACATACTGGCCAAGCAATACAGCTATTCCACACTACTTAACTAACGTGCTTCGTGAGCTTCCATCCGAACTGTAACACCTGCTGCATGCGGATATGCTCTAAGCGCGTGTATGTCGCGCTCTGGGCTTCGCAGTAGACGATCTTGAACACTATCCTGGCGACACCTCATGTGCCTCCCCCCTCGTCTGTGGACCTGTTTGCCCCTAGGCCGCATTCGGCCCGAGGAACGCCATGTCCGCTCTGAAACATAGTGTGTGGGGATTGGTGGTGCTGTAGCTGCCTTGTGCTTTCTGGAAGCCGAGGTGGCAGCTGGAAAAGAACGAGGAGGAGGAGGAGGAGGAGGAGGCGGAGGAGGAGGAGGAGGAGGAGGAGGAGGAGGAGGAGGAGGAGGAGGAGGAGGAGGAGGTGTGGAGGGGGAGGAGGCGGAGGAGGAGGAGGAGGAGGAGGAGGAGGAGGAGGAGGAGGAGGAGGAGGGCGAGCAGGAGGAGGAGGAGGAGGAGGGCGAGCAGACGAGCCAGAAGTCTCTTGAATGCCTCGTTGGAGTCTCCTCGGATGTCGCTTTGAAGCTTTTTGGAGGCCTCTTGGGGCGTCTGGGGGGCATCTTGGCGGGCCCAGCGTCTTGGGTGCATCGGGGATCCTCTTGAGGCCTCTTGTGGATCTCTTGGGAGCCTCTTGGAGGCCCCTTGGGCGCCTCTTGGGGCCGTCTGGGCGCCTCTTGAGGCCCTCTTGGGGCGCTCTTGAGAGCCTTGTGGGGCGCTCTTGGAGCCATCTTGGAAGAGATCGATCAAACAAGGGGGGGTACTCACTTAGCTTTGCGTTTCTAGAGTGCCCAAATTCGTCTCTGGGACCCCTCTTGGAGCGCTCTTGGGCGCTCTTGGGGCCGTCTTGGGGCTTCCTTGGGCCTCTCCTGGAGCCCTCCTGGGCCCTCACGGAGCTATCCTGAGGCCTCGGAAGGCCATCGAAGCGAAGAGGCGAGAAAGCAACACACATTGATTTTCCTTAGGCCTCTTGGCGGCCCCCTTGGGAGTCTCAGACGCATCTTGGAGCCGTCTTGGAGCGTTCTTGGGGCCTCTTGGAGAATTTTTGGAGCCATCTTGAGGCATCCTAGGCTATCTTGAGCCATCTTGGAGGTCATCTTGGGCTCTCTGAGGCACTCTTGGAGCCGCCTTGGGCGAAACATATCCCTCTGACACCTCGCGGGGGCGCCCCCTCCAGGTTCAGGGGAGGGGGCAGGGGGACGGGTAAACCTAAGTCGGGCGTGTCCCTCTACAGGCAGGAGGAAGATTCAAAGTTATCCTGGCGAAGGACCCAACCATGTGCAGCTGTGTGTAACGCAGTTGTGGATATCGTCCTCGGTGAACCGCTCTCTGAGGCCACGACGCGTGTGACGGGTGTGCCAACATTGGCACGGGTACGCCATGCGGACGCTGCAGCCGGAGCCCTCGGTGGAGCCCCATGTGAGGCCACGAAACGTGTGAGGGGTGCGCCGAAATGCAGGGTGGAACCACGTGCGGACGCTGCCACTAGGGCCTTTCGGGGCCACGAAACGTGGAAGGGGTGCGCCGACATGAAGGGTGGAACTGCATGCGGAACCTGTCACTGGGGCCCTGGGTGGAACACTTTCTGGGGCCACGAAACGTGTGAGGGGTGCGCCGAAACAGAGGTGGAACTGCATGCGGACCCTGCCACGGGGGCCTTCGGTGAAGCACCTTCTGGGGCCACGAAACGTGTGAGGGGTGTGCCAGAATGAGGTGGAACTGCATGCGGCCCCTGCTACTGGGGCCTTGGGTGGAAGGGGTGCGCCGAGGGAGGGTGGAACTGCGTGCAGACCCTGCCACTGGGGCCTTCGGCGGAGCACCCTATAGGGTCACGAAACGTGTGAGGTGTGCGCCGGAATGAGGGCGGAACTGCATGCGGACCCTGCCACTGGGGCCTTCGGCGGAGCACCCTATGGAGCCACGAAGCGTGTGAGGGGTGCGCCGAAATGGAGGTGGAACTGTATGCGGACCCTGCCACGGGGGCCTTCGGTGGAGCACCCTATGGAGCCACGAAGCGTGCGAGGGGTGCACCAAAATTGAAGTGGAATTGCATGCGGACCCTGCCACTGGGGCCTTCGGCGGAGCACCCTATGGGGCCACGAAACGTGTGAGGGGTGCGCCGAAATGGGGGTTGAACTGCGTGCAGACCCTGCCACTGGGGCCTTCGGCGGAGCACCCTATGGGGCCACGAAACGTGTGAGGGGTGCGCCGACATGGGAGTGGAACTGCATGCGGACCCTGCCACTGTGGCCTTCGGCGGAGCACCTTCTGGGGCCACGAAACGTGTGAGGGGTGCGCCGAAATGCAGGTGTAACTGCATGCGGACCCTGCCACTGGGGCCTTCGGCGGAGCACCCTATGTGGCCAAGAAGCGTGCGAGGGGTGCGCCGGAATTGGCGTGCGAGAGAGCAGAGGCAGGGAGGGGAGGAGGGGGAGGAGCGCGGAAAGTGAGGTGAGATGAGACGCGGGGCGCTGTCTCCTCGAAACGAGGACCCAACACCACAGGATGGTTGGGACATAGTCAATCGGGGGACGATTTTCGGACTATGTTTTCAATTTTGAATAATTGAATATTTTTTCGTCCAAAATCCGCCCGTAGGAGGACATGCCCGACCTAAGGTTAAACCCCTCCCCGAAGGGGAAAATGAGGTTGGAAGAGAAAGCTCTCTAGACCACCTACGCCCTAAGGGCTGGTGGGATATGGCTGGCCGAACCCTGGGGAAAGCGTCTTCTTCAGCACTGGCTGCCTAGCGTGCGAGCTCGACAGCGTCAATGTCTCCGGGAGCATGTCGTCTTGGTTTACCCCGCAGCTGCTGCACGAGGTGCGCCGGCAAAGTGGCTTGAGGAGGGAACCGCTGTTTTTTCGACGGGGCTCTACCTCGGTCGCGATTCACGTCAGGCGCGGCGATGTAGAGGCGACCGACGTGAAGAGAGGCACCAGCGACGCCTGGTACCTCCGCCTGATCGATCAGCTGCGGGAGATCGTACCCGACCCCGACATCCACGTTTTCAGCTCGTTGGAGGAACAAGGTGGAGGAAGAACATTGTTTGGCCAGCGCGCCTCTGACTTCGACTGCTACAGGCAGAGGAACGTGTCGGTGCACCTGGACAAGAATGCCGTGGCCCACATGGCCCACTTCGCCATGGCCAGCGTGGCCGTTCTTGCCAAGAGCAGCTTCTCGCACGCGCCCGCGCTCCTGAACCACAACTGCGTCGTCTACCAGCCCTACTGGCACCGCCCGTTGGACGGCTGGGTGGCCGCGGGGCCGAGCGAGCGGACGCCGCTCGGCCCCGAGGCCTGGGATGCGCTGGCGGCCTGCGTACACGGGGTGCGGCGCCCGTAGGCGGCGAGCCGCCCCGTGGGCCGCGCGCCATTCTGCCGGGTTGGCTAGGCGGGCGCGCCCCTCTACAGGAGGAAAGCGCGCGTTCTTTGGTCGCTTGGAGGGGGGGGGTGGCGGGGGTTTGGAACCGGACCCCCCCCCCTCCCCCACTTCTCCTCTCTCCCTCTCCTCGGGCCGGCACCGGCGGCGGCGGCGGGGAGCGTCGATGAAGACGACGACTTCCTTTTCTGGGCCGGCGCCGGCGCCTGCGGCGGCGGGCGGCGGCGGCGGGGAGCGTCGACGAGGGCGACGGCGACGACGACGACGACGACGACGACGACTACGACGAAGACGCTCCGCCACCGTGCCGTGGTTTTGGGTCAGAGTCCTAATGGATGCCTGTTGGGGTCCCGTCGGAGAGTACTTGGGAACCTCTTAAGGGCATTTGTGAAGCCTCCTGGGCCCCTCTTGGGCATGTCTTGGGGCCTCTCTGAGGTTGTGGTGGTGGTGGTGGTGATGGACTGTGGTGGTGGTGATGGCGGTGGTGGTTGTGGCGGTGGTGGCGGTGGTGGTGGTGGTGGTGTGGTGGTTGGTTGTGGTGGTGGTGGTTGTTGTGGTGGTTGTGGTGGCAGGTTGTCGTGGTGGTGCTGGTGGTGGCGGTGGTGGTGGTGGTGCGATGGTTTATGGTGGTGGTGGTGGTGGTAGTTGTGGTGGTGGTGGTGGTAGGTTAAGTTGGTGGTTGTGGCGGTGGTGGTGTGGTGGTTTGTCGTGGTGGTTGTGGTGGTGGTAGTGGTTGTGGTGGTGGTGGGTTGTGGTGGTGGTGGTGGTGGCGGTGGTGGTGGTTGTGGTGGTGGTGGTGGTTTGTTGTGGTGGTGGTGGTGGTTGTGGTTGGTGGTGGTGGTAGGGGCTATGGTGATGGTGGTGGTGGTGTTGGTGGTTGGGTGGTGGTTTGTGGTAGCGGCGGTGGTGGTTGTGGCGGTTGTGGTGGTTGTGGTGGTGGTGGTGGTGGTGGTGGTGTGGTTGTTTGCTGGTGGTGGTGTTGGTGGTTTGGTGGTGGTTGGTGGTGGTGGTGGTTGGTTGGTTGTGGTGGTGGTGGTGGGTTGTGCTGCTGGTATTAGTAGTGGTGGTTGTGGTGGTGGTGGTGGTGGCGGTGGTGGTGGTGGTGGTGTGGTGGCTTGTGGAGGTGGTGCTGGTGGTGATAGTGGTGGTAGTGGCGGTGGTGGTGGTGGTGGTGTGGTGGTTTGTGGTGCTGGTGGTGGTGGTGGTCGTGGTGTGTTGTGCTGCTGGTAGTATTGGTGGTGGTTGTGGCGGTGGCGGTGGTGGTGGTGGTGTGCTAGATTGTGGTAGTGGTGGTGGTGGTAGTGGTGGTGGGTTGTTGTATTGGTGGTGGTGGTGGTGAGCTGTTGTGGTGGTGGTGGTGGTGGCTGTGCTGCTGGTAGTGGTGCTGGTGGTGGTGGTGGTGGTGGTGGGTTGAGGTGGTGGTAGTGGTCGTGGTCGTGGTGGTGGCGGTTGTGGTGGTGGTGGTGGCGTGGTGGTTTGTGGTGGTGGTGATGGCGGCGGTGGTGGTGTTGGTGGTGGTGGCTGTGCTGATGGTAGTGGTGCTGGTGGTGTTGGTGGGTTGCGGGTGGTGGGTGGTGGTGGTGGTGGTGGTCGTAGTGGTGGTGTGGTGGTTTGTGGTGGTGGTGTTGGTGGTGGTGGTGGATTGTGATGATGGTGGTGGTGGTGGTGGCGGTGGTGGTGCTGGTGGTGGTAGTGGTGTTGTGGTTTGTGGTGGTGGTGGTGGCGTGGTGGTTGTGGTGGGTTGTGGTGGGCTGTGGTGGTGCTGGTGGTGGTGGCGTTTTTGGTGGTGGTGGTGGTGAAGTGGTTTGTGGTGATGTTGGTGGTTGTGGTGGTTGTGGGTTGTGGTGGTTGTGGTGGTGGTTGTGGTGGTGGCGGTGGTGGTGGTGGTGTGGTGTTTTGTGATGGTGGTGCTGGTGGTGGTGGTGTGGCCTTCGGCTCTTCCCGCCAGTGTGTTTTGGCTTTGGGTCAGGGTTCTAATGGATGCCTCTTGAGGGGGCGTCTGAGGAGCATGCGAAGGCTCGATATGGTGATTTGTGTGTTCCTTCTGCGGCCTCTGGGCCTTCTCTGGTCATCGTCGCTACGTCCATGCAGTCGGCGCTGCTTGCCGCCGCAAGCGCTGGCGCCGGCGCTGGCGCGGGGGGGTGTTTCTTGGGCCCTCTCTGGTCACCGTCGCTGCGTCCCCGCCGTCGGCGCTGCTGGCGGCCGCCAGCGCCGTCGCCAGCGCCGGCGCTCGGGGGGGGGGATGGTTTGGAACCCTTGGGGGGGGGATTCGGGAGTGGGGGGGGGTTAGTGGGGGAGGGGAGTCTCCCTGGTTTTGATCGACGGCGCCGAGTGTTGGGGGGGGGCCCACCCCCCGTTTGGAAACGCGCCGCCGAATGTTCCCAATGCGAGCGCCCGTGAAACGCGCTCTCTCTACAGGGGGAATATTCAAAAGTAGTTAAAAAATCGTTAGGGGACGATTTTTTGGCTATTTTCGTTTTTGTTTGAATATTTTACGACAGTGTTTTACCTTGCGTCCAAAATTCGCCAGTAGGGGGACACGTCCGACCTAAGCTTAGCTGGGTGCATCGCGGGCGGCCTGGGCGCGAGCTATAGGCACGCGGCCGTGCGTCTTTCCAGCGCTCGGCCTTTCGGAGGCTGGGCACGTGGGGCTCAGGCCACGCGTTTCCACTGCGCGGCCTCGGTGTATTCCACCTGTGAACTCGGCCGTGCGTGTTCCCACCTTCCTGGTGCATGCTGGCATACCAGTTTCTTCCTTGATGGGCTTGTCGTATCGGAGACGCCTACGGCGAATCACCGCCGCACCTTGCCCTTTAGGATACGCCTATGTGGCCAACGTTTAGGCCAAATTTGGCCACTCTATTGGACCATGCGTTCCCCCAGCCGTTGTGGGAAGCCCTTCGGGGAACACATGGGGGAGGAAGAGGAGGATAAGGAGAGGGAGGAAAAAGGAGGACGAGGGGAAAGATGATGAGACCTCTTGGGAGCCTCTGGGGTCACACTTGTGGCCTCCTGGGAGCTTCCTGGCGGCCTCCTGGAGGCCTCTTGGGGGCCTTCTTGGGGGGGCCTCTTTGACCGTCACAGGGCGTTCCTGGTCCGTCGGACGCCGTCGGGAGCCGTCTTGGGGACCGTCTTGGGGCCCTCTTGGGGCGCTTCAGGGCCGTCTTGGAGGCCATCTTGGGCGTCTTGGAGGCCTCTTGGGCCGTCTTGGGGCTCTCTCGGGGCCGCCTTGGGGGCCTCTTGGGCCGTTCTGGGGCCTCTTGGGCGATCTTGGGGCGGTCTTGGGGGGCTCTTGGGCCGTCTTGGGCCGTCGGAAAGCCAAAAGGAAGCAAATGCAAAAACATTTCAAACACCGACGTAAAATCAAGGATTGTGGCGTCTTCGGGCTTTCCTGAAGGACCTCTTGGAGGCCTTTTGGGCCGTCTTGGAGGCTTCTTGTTGGACTCTCCGTGGGCCGTCTTGGGCTCTCTTGGATCATCTGATCGGGCTCGGAGGCATATTCGGACCATCTCGGAAGCCATCTTGGGCCTATCTTGAGCTCTCTTGTGGCTATCTTGGCCGTCTGGGATGCCATCTTAGCCGTCTTGGAGGCCATCTCTACAGGAAGAGCCGACGGGAGACGCAACTGGACGAGCTTTCCGCCTGGCCGGCGGCATCGGCCGAAGCCCCAGGAGAAGCTCCAACAAAACCAATAACCGCCAGACGTCTAGCACGGAGGAGGAGGAGGAGGAAGAGGAGGAGAGGGAGGAGGAGGAGGAGGAGGAGGAGGGGGAGGAGGAGGAGGAGGAGGAGGAGGAGGAGGAGGGATGGAAAAGGGGAGAGAGGAGGAAGAGGTGAGAAGGATGAGTAGGAGGAGGCGGGAGGAGAGGAGTAAGGAGTAGGAGGAGAGAGGTGGAAGAGGAAGAAGAAGAAGGAGGAGGAAACGGAGGAGGAGGAGGAGGAGGAGGAGGAGGAGGAGGAGGAGGAGGGGGAGGAGGAGGAGGAGGAGGAGGAGGAGGAGGAGGAGGAGGAGGAGGAGGAGGCCGAGACCACTCGGGGTGGTGTCTCGGCCGACCGCTCGCGCTGGCCACCCCGAAAGGCGCCCACAGGGTGGGAAGCAGTGCCCCTGACGCTTCAACGCTGGCTAAGATGGCCCAAGATGGCCTTCAAGGCGCGCTCAATATGTCATGGCGCCAACATCGCAGAGCGGTTTTCGTTCGGAAAACACTCGGATGGGCCCAGGTTGTCCTGGAGCATTTCGTTCCGCATTTCGAAGTGAATTTCGCTCGGATCTTTTTGGCCATGAACTAAGACAAACAAATCCACACTTCGTTTTTCGCTCGTCATTGTGGGGTTTTGCATTGACAGAAAGTCCGCTGCAGCACGTCTGCAAGGTCGGTGCAGTGAAATATGACCTCCAAGACGCTCTCAAAGACGCCTCCAGGACGGCCAAGATGGCCCCAAGACGGCCCAAGATGTCCTCCAGACGGCCCCAAAGATGTCCCAAGAGGGCTCCAAGGGGGCCTCCGGGAGGCCAGAAACATTGACCTGCCTGTGGCGTCTCGCTCATTTTGCGTTGTCACCATTTCGGGCTTCCGACGCTCCAGGACGGCTGAAGATCGCCCCCCGACGTCCCAGGAGGCTCCCAGGAGGCCCGCAAGAGGGCCCCAAGACGACCCAAGAGGCCCCCAAGACGGGCCCAAGATGGCCGCATAGACTTCCAAGACGGCCCTGAAGCGCCCACAGAGGAAACCGCGCCTGCCCGGAGAGGGCCCACAAACGGCCTCCTGAGGCCAAGAGATCCTTGAGAGGCCCTCAGAAGGTTTCAATGCTGCTTGGCCAGACTTCGGCCCGACGTCTGGCCGCACGGGCGTTTCCAAAAGGCGGGGGGCGGCGGTGATACGTCATGCCATTGCCCTCTTTTGAATATGCCCAGCCTAAGACAGCGCGCTTGCCTACTACCAGGTGTTCGCGCTCAAGAGGTTCTTAGCTGTGATGCTGAAGCCAAGGCTTCACTACCTACCTCCAGCACAACGAAGAACCGGAGGACAGCGGAAGAAATGAGCCAACGACATCTACAATTGTTTTACATTCCAGGAGCATCGGGGAGACTGCGACGACAACGACGCCTATTACAGACATTGGTATACATATCGTTACTTTTGGAGATATAGTGGGGTATAAGAAACTAGCTGTCTGGATCACTGCGTTTACAACCCCCATTGCATGCGCTGAACCTTCTCCGGGTTACCAACGCCACGTTTCCCACTCCCGCTTCAGTTCTTACAATTCCGGTTCTGACCTCACTGTTTTCTGCTGTTGTCCTTCCGATTACGGCTCCCTCTCCACGGCTGCAGCTCCTACCGCAGCGATCTCCAGATTCCGACACCCGTGTTCATCTTTCCCATTTCTGCGCCCATTTTCCGGATTTTTGTTTTCAGTCGTCTTCCTGATGGTACCTTTCCGACTCCTGCTGTCCTCTCTCCGACTCCGGCTCCTACTCCCGCGTTTCTGGTCGTCTCTCCGACCCCAGCTCTTGTGCTCTGCACCCGTGTTCGTTTCTCCGACTCGTGCCTCCGATCTTCCTGACTCCTGCTCTCGTCTCTCCGACTCCGGCTCACACCTTAGGAAGCACGTCCTGGGAGGTTAGATTCAGCATCGGCGCTGGTATAATCGCAAGTAGTTCCGTTTGATTCCGCTCATCGTTCTTGCGAAGGTCTCCCAGAAGTTGTTTCCTAGGGTACTCCTGCAACTCCGGCTCCGACTCCGAACCCATCCCCGACACCACCGCTGGCTCCGACCCCAGCTCTCTAGCTCCCCCGTCTGCCTCCGAACCCCCCTCCGAATCCTGCTCCGGCTCCAGTTCCGACTCTGGTCCGATTCTGGTTCCGGCTCCTACACGTGAGGCCTGGGCTCAGACAGGATTGCCACGACAGTTTCTTACCAGAGACGGTCGGGCCTTCCCGATGGTTCTTTTCTGGGGATTCTCCACGCCAGCTTCGACTCTAGCTCAGAGTCTAACTCTGGAACGCTGGCCCCGATGCCAGCTCCGATTCCAACTCCAACTTCGACTAAAATCAAGTGGGCCATAATTACGCCCGACCCCCGGCCGAAGTTTGTTCGGCTCTGGCGCTTCCCGCTCCTGAGATTGTCGCTCCGACTCGGGCTCCTACCTCTGGAACATACGGAACAACGCTTTATGCAACACGGGCATTGCTTGTTTCCACACACTTGTCTTCCTGACTTTGGTGAGCACGTCCTCTTCTTTAGCTACGGCCGCGTTTTTCCAGTTCCGCCTCCTATCCGACTCCGGCTCTTCCGGTAGCAAATCACGGGAGCCTGGTATGCCCTTGTAATTCCGTCTTTAGCGTCGACTAGCGTCGTTTAGCGTCTGGGCGTCGATGAGACAGCGCCGATTTAGCGCCAGCTAGCGTCGATTAGCGTCGATTTAGCGTCGACTATGGTCGATTAGCGTCGATTCGCAGCAGCCGACAAAATGGTACAGTGGAGGCCCAAGCCACGAAACACCCTGCCTGCCTCCAGGGTGCCTTGGGTTTCTTGGGTTTCGATGGTTTTGCCATGGGCAGCGTGACGTTCCACACCAAAAACCAATGGACGTCCCAGAGTTTCAGGGTTGGGTTTTTTGTGGAAGGGTTTCTTGTGGACTGTCCTCCGCTGTAGCGTCGTTTAGCGTCTGGGCGTCGATGAGACAGCACCGATTTAGCGCCGGCTAGCTTCGATTAGCGTCGATTTAGCGTCGATTATTGTCGATTAGCGTCGATTCGCAAGAGCCGGTAAAATGGTACAGTGGAGGCCCATGCCAAGAAACACCCTGCTTGCCTCCAGGGTGCCCTGGGCTTCTTGATGGTTTTGCTATGGGAAGCGTGACGCTCCCACACCAAGAATCACAATGGACGTCCCGGGGTCTCAGGGTTGGGTTTTTTGTGGAAGGGTTTCTTGTGGACAGTCCTCCACTGTATGGGAGGCTCCCATGACTTTTATGATGTTCCAATCGACTTTAGCCTTGATCACCAGAAAGAATGTCGAGCACCAGGGAAGTACCGAACCCGGAGTGTTTTCACGTGTCGGGCCCTGGGAGGTGATACTCGCTCGACTCTGTTTCGATACTTTTCTGGGTGCCCGAAATTATTTCTGGGATGTGGTCCTTCAGTGCGGTTGGAGCAACGTAAGTGGAAGGGTTTCTTGTGGGCTGTCCTCCACTGTATGGGAGGCTCCCGTGAGTTGCCACCGAAGGCTCCCAGCTTTCCGTTTTCAGCTCCCACCACCGCCTCCCGACTCTCGGGCCCCGGCCCGCCGCAGCGCTGCCCTCGCAGGGGCCGGTCCGTTGGGCCGACGGTGCGAGCTCCGCTCTTCCTCCCCGTCCTCCTCCTCCTCCTCCTCCTCCTTCTCCTCCTCCTCCTCCTCCTCCTTCTCCTCCTCCTCCTCCTCCTCCTCTCTCCTCCTCGCTCCTCCTCCTCCTTCTCCTCCTCCTCCCTCCCCCCGTTCCTCCCTCCTCCTCCTCCTCCTCCTCATCACTTCCTCCTCTCCTCCTCCTCCTGATCCTCCTCCTCCCTCTCCTTCCCCCTCCTCCTCCTCCTTCTCCTCTTCCGCCTCCTCTTCCTCCTCCTCCTCCTCCTCCTGCTCCGCATCCTACGTCCTAGCCCACGGGAGCCTCCCGACCAGGGGGGTGCGTCCGTCCTGAATCGCCGCCCTGGCCGAAAGTGTAAGGCTCGCTGTGGAGATACTTTTGCGAAAGCCAAGCGAATTCCTGTGGGCTCAGCGCTGGCTTCCCCACCGAGTCCTCTCTCTCGAGGGGCATGCTCCACCTGCTTCTCCGCCCTCCGCGCCCGCGTCCTCCTCCTCTGAGACTCCTCTGTGCTCCTGCTCCTCCTCCGTCAGTCATCCCTCCTCCTGCTGCTGCTCCTCCTCCTCCTCCGTCCACGGTCCTCCGTCCTCCTGCCTCTCCGTCCTCCTGCCTCTCCGTCCTCCTGCCTCTCCGTCCTCCGTCCTCTGTCCTCCGTCCCCCATCCCGCGTCCTCCGTCCTCCTTCTGCTCCTTCTGCTTCCTGCCCCCCTCCATCTCATCCCGCGCAGCAGCCCGTGGGCCCGCTCTTCACTGCTGCCGCCACAGACGACGGAACGAACAGCCCAAACCCACACCCATGGTGGGGTCGGAGGGGGGGAGGACTGGCTGTGGGGATGGGCGCGCGCGGGCTGTCGGAACCTGGGGGGGGGGGGCGCGCGCCCGAGCGGGGGCCGCCATCCGAGAACACGCACCCATGGCCCCCTTCGCCCCCCCTCAAATG